ATCTGCTGCCTGTGATGCGGCGCGGCCCGAGCGGGGCCCCAGTGAATGTTCTCTCATTAGCTTGTGTCCATTTTCACACATTTATTCACATTTTTATCATTCTGCTGGTTTGGATTTTATTACACATTTAAATAGAGCTTCAGTCTGCTTTTTGAGATGAGAGTCCCTGTTGGTTCTAGAATCCATTGTTTCTGTAGAAAAGCAGTATCAACAGATGTAGACATTCAACTTTTTGAGCAACCACTAAACATGTAAGATTAATTTCAAATGGGAAAATTATCTTTATCCCATGGAGTTGACTTGAAAATTACATAGTTCAGCGGACCTAAAATGTAAAGTTTAAAGCTCTAAAAAATCTTTTGTGTTTTCATTTTATTTCTTGAAATGTCAGCTTTACCTGATAGTTATCTATGATATAATTTATGTAGTAAAATGCCTGTTACTTTACTGTTTGAAAAACCAGATCATGTTTTTCAGTAGCTCAACGGAAATGTTTGTTTGTGGAGGTTCTGGATGAAGCTGTAGACACGTCTTTCCTGACACTTATTGATTCACAGTGTGTTTGTAACTACAGTAGTCTACTGTATTCCTCCTCCCACTGTTGTTGGGGACCTACAACCAGCTAATCAATCTCTATAAATGCAAGGCTTGAGTGAAAATAACACGTTGAGATATTACAGCATGAGTTGTGATGGCTTAGCTCAGTACTCTGTCAGCATTTGGGGCTCAAAGATAAAGCAAATGAGACATCAGGTTAGGAGAGAAATCATGTGGATAAAGTCATGGCAAGAAAAGGCACTGGATTTTCTGACACGTGTCATTTCCCACTTTCTTTCTCTGTGCTATAAGACATGAATTTACATACTTATATTCAATAAATTGTCTTGTTTATTTACCTTTTTATTCAAAATGGCTCAAATTTCCTAAAGTGGAGCATGCATTCTGCTCTTACGGTGCAAATGGTCAGTGGTTTTTTAAAGATGTTTGAAGAGTATTATTAAATGATAATTCTGCCTGATATTTTTTTTTTTTTTGCAAAAGACACTTTCTACACTCAAGCATTATATTATTACACTACAGCATAGTAAAAGGCATGTCATGACCTCCTGTTTTAGTACTTTTTCATAAAAAGTTATGCTTTCAAATATTTGTGAAAAAATAAATTCAAACAAGATCAACATTTAAAATGTTTAATTTTTTATCTTGATTATCAAATAGTGATTAAACTTTGAGGTTTAAATATAAGTTACCATTTGCGATTGGCATTCTATTTTATGTTTCTTCTTTCTCATTTACAGAAAAAAATGATACAGAAAGAAGGGAGACAGAGACAGAGGTGGAAAGAGGATGGTGGAAAAAATGAGGTAAGTAGAAATATGAAATTCATTCACAAAATTATAGAGTTGGAGAATTTCTTTTTTTTTTTTTTTAGTATTGGGGATTCATTTTATTATTGACAGTTTTGGGGATTGATCCAAGAATCTTTGCACTGAGCTACATCTCTGACCACTCCTTTCATTTTCCCTGTTTTTCTTTCTTTCTTTCTTTTTGTTGTTGTTGTTTTGAGACAGGGTCTCACTAAATTCCTAAATCACCCAGTCTGGGCTTGAACCTGTGACCCTCTTGCCTCAGCCTCTTAGAGCTGTGGTGGCGAACCTATGGCACGTGTACTGCATCCGAGTGTTTGTTAGCCCTGACAGCTCTAAAAGGTTCACTATCGCTGTCCTAGAGTGTTAGAGTCAGAGGTATGTGTCACCATGACCTGCTGTAAAATTTGTACTACATTTTTTGATAATTTCAAATTGCGTGCTGAATGTCTCACCTTTGCCTTTTATTTACTTGAATGTATTGAACGACTTTTTTTAGACAGGGTCTTGCTATATATTCCAGGCTGCCCTTAAATTCACTATGTAGCCCATGCTCTTTCAAACTCAGAATCCTCCTGCCTCAGCCTCCTGAGTGCTAGAATTATAAGTATGTACCACCATGCCTGACAAATACAATTATTTTGAAGTCTGTCTGATAATGCTATTATTTGGAGTCCTGTATCTCTGTGTCTCCTATCTGTCATGTTTCTT